TGTATGTGTGTGTGTGCCCCCGTGTGTCTGTGTGTGTGTGCGTGTCATATGTGTGTGTGTGTGTGTCTGTGTTTGTCTATGTTTGTGTTTGTGTGTATGTGTGTGTGTGTGTGTGCGTATGTGTGTGTGTGTGTGTATGTGTGCGTGAATGTATGTGTGTGTGCGTGTGTGTGTGTGTGTGCTGTCATATTCACTATACACTCAAAAAAGTATGACTGTGCTAGACTGAAGGGGAGCGGGGCGCGATGTGTGTTTGTATGCGTGTGATTGTGTGTGTGTGTGTGTGTGTGTGTGTGTGTGTGTGTGTGTGTCACGTGTTTGTGTGTGTCTGTGAGTGTGTGTGTGTGTCTGTCTGTGTCTGTGTATGTGTCTGTATGTTATTTTGTCTTTGTGTTTGTATGTGTGTGTGTGTGCCCCCGTGTGTGTGTGTGTGTCTGTGTGTGTGTCTGTGTGTGTGCGTCTGTAGGTATGTCTATGTGTCTGTGTATATGTGTGTGTGTGTGTGTGTGTGTGTGTATGTGTGTGTGTGTCTGTCTGTGTATCTGTGTATCTGTGTGTGTGTGTGTGCGTGTGTGCGTATGTGTGTGTGTGTGTGTGCGTGTGTTTGTGAGTGTGTGCGAGTGGGTGGGTGGTAGGTGGGTGAGTGGGGCATGGGCGTGTGGGTCGGTCGGTGGGTGGGTGAGTGGTGGGTCGGTGGGTGGGTGACTCGCACTCCAAGCACCTATCCACCGGTCGGTCGGTGGGTGGGTGGATTCCAGACCTTGGAAAAGTGCGAGACAGCCCCCAAGGCCAGTCTCAGCTTTCAACACATTTTTGCGCCGAACTTTCCTCCCGACGGCCTTTTAGGACGCAGGCGGAGTGAAAACGTCGATCTGCTACTTTCCACGCCAAAAAACACGGCCTGTCGGGTCCCTGAAGACGGTCCTTGGAAAGAATTCGCCGCTTTCCAATGCATTATACGCAGGCTGTGGTGTCCCGGAAACACCTCCACGGCAAAGTTTTTCCTTTCCGCATTCCTGTGGGGTCCCAGCCTAAGCCAAAAAAGAAAACGAAAGAAACAAAAGAAAAAAGAAAAAAAAAGGAAAAAAAAAAAGAGAAATGACGACCCAAAAACAGTTTAACTTTTGGTGCAGCGCGAACGAACACGAGAGAGAGAGAGAGAGAGAGAGAGAGAGAGAGAGAGAGAGAGAGAGAGAGAGAGAGGCGGTCTTCAAGCAGCAACCGGGCCTTCCCTTGGCCGACCCCCCTAAGGTTGCGGCGTGTATACGGGAAGGCCCGCGGCCGATAGCTGGGCCAGGTACTGGTGGTTTAAGGAGAGGAGGGGGGGAACCAATATCTCCTTACTTTTTCGGGTAATACATGTTAAATAAACACTGACTGTGGGATCACGAGGGCTGCGCGGCAGGATTTGGCTCACTCAACTGCCACACAAACTTTTTTCTATCCTATCCAGTTGCTAGTGGGACCATGGTCCAGGGGTCTAGTCCCACCTACAAYRTTGAGTTTTCTCAACRCTGAGCTTTCTMTCACGTGTGGCATGGTGGGACGGRGCTYTGYCGTTGATGTATTGCGAATCTAACGGTACCAAAATACAGGAGAATAACCTATTAGATTTAGTCATTTTGTAGAATTTTTCTTTGACGTGAAATTCGTTTTGTAGTATGCGTTGGCCCTTTTGGTTTGGGCGGGAATCCATTTTCCATTTAGAAAACTACCCTACCGAGGGTAGGGTACATTTCTCAACTTCAGTGCCTTTCCTTTTTTTTTGTTTTTTTAGACCTCATTGCATCCTGAAACGGAGGAACTATGACAACTATGTTTCGCTGTCTGGCATCAAACTCGTTTCCTTCTTTGGGCAATGAATGCATTTGGCCATCCACGTCGTCCCTGTCCATTTTACAAATGGTGACCTCCAGTCCCCTCACCACGGGGAGTATCCCTTTTTCACGGAGACGTTCACTCCGACTGTTCCACACATGTTTTATTTCTCCAACTTACGTTAAAAAAAATTAGGAGAAAAATTGTTTCTAGCATTTTTTTCAGTTTTTGTATTTCTTGTTTCGAATTTATTAATGTCGAAATGACGTCACACCGTTGAGTTTTCTGAACTCAACAACGGTAGGTGGGACCAGACCCCAGGTGCCAGTGGTGACTGCTTTTATCAGCGTCACTATCACTAGCGGGGGTCCTTGTCCAAAAAAAAGACAAAAAAAAAAAGGGATTTGGCCCGCCGGTTGGAAATGCACTGTTTGAGAGCGGATGCAGATTGGGGGTCGGTGTACCCTAAATCACGTGGAGGTGGGTGGGTCTGCGGGGCCTTTGGCCCCTGCCGTGCGGGTGGTAGGGTATCTCTGACGGTAAGCAGAAACACCATCGTGGTGGGAGTTGGTGTTTTCGGTGTTGGTGAGTGTTGGTTTCAGTGGGGTGTTTTGCGGGGACTGCATCTGCAGTTGGGGGCCTACGGCTGGAGTCCCCTGCCGCGCGGGTGGCAAAGCGGTTTGCAGGGTTTGGTAAACAATCTCGGATGATTGAAGGACGGCAGCCTGTTTCCTCTTTCTCTAGATTAAATGGTACTTTGTTTGATGCTTTTGGGACCTGTGTATTGATGGTTCAGAATTACAGTTTGTGGTAACACTGTGGTCCGGTTTTGGAGCTTGACCGGTGATGTCTCGCTCCGCGACGGGACCACGTCATTTTGTGAGGGACGCCAGGCCCGTTTCCTGGCTTTGCGGAAAAAAAAAAAAAAAAAAAAAAAAAAAAAAAAAAAGAAGGAAAAATAAGAAATGCACCAAATCGGCGCGGCGAATATTTCACGGTTGAAATGATTTTTTGTTTTTTTTTTACTATTTTTCCTTGAAAGATCACGACCTAACCTATGGGCCCTCAAATTTGCCGACATTTTTATGAATTCTTCTGAGCACAAAACATCGGCAAAGTTGCCGATTGCAAATGGCGGGATTTGAACCGCCGATTGGAAATGCAGCAAATCGGCGCGGCGAATATCTCATGGTCAAAAAAAATTTATTATTTTTGTGTAACATTTTTCCCTGAAAGATCAGAGCCTAACCTACAGACCCTCAAATTTGCAGACATTTTAATAATTTCGTCTGAGCACAAAAAATCGGCAAAGTTGCCGCTTGCAAATGGCGGGATTGGACCCGGCGGTGACGAACGGTCGCCGCCCCTCCGTACAGGCCAGCTACGGTTCAGACACACCTGTCAGCTGCCTGACGTCGGATACACTTCAAACAGAAGCAGTCCTCAAAACCACACAGGGACCCAATCCACCTATGTGGTTAGGGCAGTTGCGTATTTCAAATCTTTGCGTGGGTTCAAACCCCAACAACAACCCTTGATAGCAAACTTCAAAATATTAATGTGTGTGTGTGTGTGGGTGGGTGTGGGTGGGTGCGTGTGTGGGTGTGGGTGTGCGGGTGTGGGTGGGTGCGTATGTGGGGGGCGGGGGGGGGGGTCTGAGGGTGGAGGTGGGTCACTGCCTGCAACGCACCTGCCACCCCTCTTCCTTTTGTCGGCGCCGACGCCGGCGCTTGCCGCCAAAAACGACACGCCGACCAGGAGTCAAAACGAATAAAGAATAACGAAAACGAATTAAAGAAAGGAAAAGAAAAACGAATCCCAGAATATACAAAATAAAAAATTAAAAAAAGAAAAGAAAAAAGGGGTCGGGGCACGAAACGACACTTTCTTGCAATCCGACGGTGGGCGCGTTCAGATATTGAATAACGAAAATGAATTAAAGACAGAAAAAGAAAAACGAATTCAAGAAAGAAAAAGAAAAACAAATTCAAGAATATACAAAATCAAAAATTAAAAAAAGAAAAGAAAAAAAGGGTCGGGGCACGAAACGACACTTTCTTGCAATCCGACGGCGGGCGCGTTCATATATTAATGCACATTGACGCCCACGGTCTACCCAGCCCTGTAGGCGCGCTCTCTCGTTTGGTGGCACGGTGTGAACAATTCGGTACGCACGCCACTCTGCACAATGCCCCTCCCTCGATCGTCTTCATCCGCCGGCCCGAATCAAAACTTCGGGCCGATTTCAACGCCCCCCCTCGGGCCCATCGCGCTTAAGGGGTAGGATATACATCCTCATATTTCTGACTGTATTTTACACAGACCCGGGGATTACATGGCACTCAGTCGTGCAACTTCCCACTGGGAACTCTGGGATAGTGGGACGCTGAGTCAGGCTATTTTGGACGTAATGGGAACCATCTCTCCCTTCCTGTTACATGCCCAGTTGGGCGATGTAATGGGAGCCAAGGATCCGACAAGTGATGAAAAGGAGTAAATGGACAATGCAGTGTTAATGAGATCTCAACAAGCAACGTTCATCCTGATGCACGCAAAATGGTACTATGTAGCGCAGTGGAAGACTTGGATATGAGCCCTCACTTGACTGGGACTGACATGGCATCTCATGATGCTTCACACATGTGAGAAGAAGAGGAGATACCAAACTGTGGAATACCGTAATGGTGCAAAACAGTGCACCGACCAACCTCCCTCACATAGTATAAGATAGTGCAGCGGAATGCTAAGATACCAATGATCAACCCGCTCAATGTCGTAATATAGACCCAACGTACATAATCATCGTTGCAAGGTGTGAGGGGCCTGGCGCTATGCACATAAGAGTATGCCAGGGCCAGACCATACACAGACGAAGAGGAGGGGGGTCAGACGAAGGAGAAGATGGGAGATGCGAATGTTGCCAACACCAAGTCTTCAGTACAATTCCCAACCTACTCGTAGTCTGCAGATACTGAGAAGTCAGGTAGCGAGAGGGTGAGGAAGAGATGGCGGACTTAGAAGAGGAAGAAGAACTCTCTCTCTCTCTCTCTCTCTCTCTCTCTCTCTCTCTCTCTCTCTCTCTCTCTCTCTCTCTCTCTCTCTCTCTCTCTCTCTCTCTCTCTCTCTCTCTCTCTCTCTCCCCCCCCCGAGTACTAACCTGTGGAAGTGGCGTCTTGTTGCAGGTAGCTCGAAGATGGAGCTGGAGCTATGGAGGCACAGGTAAGTCTCCCTGGCCTCCGCCAACCATCTCTCTCTCTCTCGAACACTACTGTAGCCCCTACTAGCGCCCAGCGCTGAAGACTGCTGCTAACGCTACTAACGCCCAACGCTGAAGACTAGTGCTAGCCTGTGCAACCGGTTGAACGCGTCGAACGCGCGTTCACATTCAAACGTGCGCGCTCATGCCCCCCAGGGCCGCGTTCAATCGCGTTCAAACGCGCTGCGCGCCACGTGGCGCAAAAAAATTGAACGCGACCCCGGGGGGGGCGCGTGCGCGTCGCAGACTACGGGGTGGTGGGCTTCGTTCAACAAACCCCGAATGTGCAAAACAAAAGCCCCCCCGGAGGCCCATTCCCCCTACTGCGTCATCCCCTGCCATATGTGAAAGGTCCTCTTTTTTTTCGGGGGGGTGGGGGAATCCCCCTAACACAGCTCAGACGGTCGATGCAGGCTATCTGAAGGGTCCTCGCAACCATGTAGCGCAAACCCCCCACCAAAATCAAGGCAGGCAGTGAATATGAAGTAGAGTACGACCTGGCCGAATATATACTCAAGATTCGAATTCAGGTCTGTGTTTCAGTAGTTATGGGTTGCTTACGTAGCTGATTGGTTGCTCATGTAGCTCTGCACTTGACTCTTAGGGCTCTCACGAATAGTGCAAAATTAGAATGAATCTTCTGAAGAAAGTGGAATAATAGGCCACCATATGTTTTGTCTTTTGTGCATTTGGTGAGTACAGGCCCTTAGGGCCACTGCACGTATTCCTAAGAAAAGAAAAACGAAGAAAAAAAAAACGAGAAAAAAAAAAAAAAGAGAAAAAAGAAAAACAAGAAAAAAGAAAACACATGCACAAAAGACAAAATATATGGCGGCGTATCATTCCATGTTCTGCAGAACTTTCATTCTAGTTTTGCACATTTGCTGAGTAGTGCAGCGACAGCCAAGCCCTCAGAATCACGTGCAGAGACCAACACGGTCTAGCTACGTGAGCAACCCATAACTGCTGAAACACAGACCTGAATTCGTATCTTGAGTATATATTCGGCCAGATCGTGCTCTACTTCATATTCACTACCTGCCTTGATTTTGGGGAGGGGGGTTGCGCTACATGGCTGCGAGTACCCTTCAGATAGCCTGCATGGGCCGTTTGAGCCGTGTTAGGGGGATTTCTCCCCCCCCCCCCCCCCCCCCCCCCCCCCCCCCCCCCCCCCCCCCCCCCCCCCCCCCCCCCCCCCCCCCCCCTTTTTTTTTTTTTTTTTTTTGCCCGTTTCGGGGCATTGGCCCACAGCCGCCCCCAAGCACTGCGGCTTCTCCCCACACTGCCCACAGCGCCCCTAAGCACCGCCGCCGCTCCCCACACTGCCCAAAGGCCGGCCCCACCCCGCACAACCCCCTGCGCAAATGCGTCAAACGCGTTCACGCGCGCTCAGTGAACGCACGTTCACCGCGTTCATACCCTGAACGCGAAACGCGCGTTCAATGAACACGTGGTAACACAGCTGCTAGCGCTACCACCACTCCTCCAGCGCTCCTCCAGAGTGCTGCTTCCGAATCCTGAAGACTACTGCCTGCCCCTTGAACTGCATGTGAAGTGCCTGAAAGTTCCTATGAATTACCTCTCAGTACCCATGGCCTGCAGGGCGGGCCAGTCCTATATAGTGCTGGCCTGTCTAGGAGGCTGCTCTTGCCAATGCCAAATTGTGCTAGACTCTGGCGTTGAAGCTCAAACAACGGTTGTCTTGAGAACAGGCCAAAAATAGCCTGTGCCTAAAACCCTGGTCTGGTGCCTAGGTTTCAGGGCAGATTATTTGGGACCTGTACCGAAGACTTGGTGGTCACGACATTCCCATCTGCCCCCCTCTTCTTCGTCTAATCCCCCTCCTCTTCGTCTGTGTATGTTTGTGGACTGGCGCATTCTTCCTGTGTGGGCGCCAGGCCCCTTCACACCATGTGATGATGATGACGTATGTTTGGTCTGCATTGCGACATTGATTGGGTTGATAATTGGTATTTTAGCCTTCCTCTGCGCTATCCAATACTATGTGAGAGAGGCCGATTCTTGTTCTGGTCTGCACCATTGCGGTATGCGACTGCACGTGGGCGCTTGCCAGGTTATAGCGCTGCAGCGCTTGCGTAGCATGTAGCAAATGCCCAAATGACAAATGTGGAGGCAGGCACTTTCCTATATGGAAGTGGCCTGCCTGTGAAGTGTTGTGTGGCAGTGCTGGGCTCCTGCCCAGAACCTTCCTATAGGCCCCAAGTGGCTGAGCCCCGGTCCAAGGGAATCAGGCACAGTGCCTGTGCTGGTTACCCGTGTCAAACTGCCAGCGGCCTGTGTGCAGCCTGTGTCCCGTGTCTAGCCCAGTGCCTGCCTCAAAGACATTTCGAAGAAGGCAGGCAGTGCCTGGGCCCTCTCAACCAACTGTCGGTGCGCAAATGGCTGAATTTCTCAGTTTCGTGAGAAACCCATAATAGGCCTATCGTCCCCTGTCAGGCCCTGTGATCAAGCCCTGGGATGTGCATCTGCTACTGCAAAGGTGAAAACCGTTTCATATATATATATATATATGTATATATATATATATATGTATATATATATATATATATATATATATATATGACCCGCCAACACACAGATTGAGAACACTACTAATTTCGGTCGTTTTGCTGCTATAATGCATGGGTTGCTGAGATTCCCGCATTCTGATGTTATTTATAAGTTTGTGCGTGTGTGTGCCTGCTGGTCTACTTGTCTGTCTGGGTGCCTGGCTGAGTTCTTGTTGGCCTGAGTGTGTGTGACCCGCAAGAGTACTTATTGGGATAGTTGGTAGAAACAGCCCACGCCAAAACCTTTTCAGTTTGGCCGCCCAAAGTTCGGTCGTTTGGTACTACCGACCCAAACAACGTTCCCCTTGGTGAACGGCACCTTCGCGCCGTGGCCACATCTCCTTGGGCCTGTTTTCACCAGTTCAAGAATTTGGCGTTGTTTCTGCGCCAGATTCATGAACCGGAAGGGGCCTTCTTTTTCAAAATCGCGTATGTGGGCCTCATTCGATACTTCAGCGTTACCACGCCCGGCCTCTTTTACATAAAAATGAATTTGGCGCTATTTATGCGCCAGATTCATGATCCGGTAGGGCCCTTGCAGCGACGCGTGGGCCTGTAGTACCCCACATGCAAGTCATTGGGCCGGTAGTACCAAACGACTAAACTTTGGGCGGCCACAACTGAAAAGGTTTTGGCGTGGGCGCCTTCTACCAATTATCCCATACTTGTTCGTTACGAGGAGCCGCAGGGCCGGTACTTGCCTGTGGCCCTGACTTTGAGGGTTGCAGCGGGTAAAGCACTGTAGTAGCGAGGGCAGGCCCGCGGGGCCGCGACACTTAGAGCATCAGGAATAACAGTCAAGTAGTAGGTAGGCCGGTACCACTGTAGTAGTCGCACAAGTGTTGGCTGCTCGAGATCTCGCGTATGCCTTTGGAATGGAACGTCTTTGTGTCCTTTTCAATGCACTTACAAAAAGTTACATTTGCCGACTATTGTCGGTTTCGCATACCAATTTCTTACATGCAGTGTTCACATTGTCTCGCGCAGCGTGCAATGGGTCTAGCGCACGACGAGCCTCACGAGAACCTGACAACGTTTCTGGACGACACCAGGGCAGCATGCTCCCGTGCTGGTGATTTCTCGGGATTCATACCAACCTGCTTCGCCCGCAATGAATCCCGTGGTCTACTCCCAACCTCTCCTAGACAGGCCTTCCTCTGTTTCTGCGATTCGCTCTCCTTTGCATCCACCACGGCCGCTTCCTTGCCACAGTCCTTGGGTTCACAATTTCCCCCACTATGCAACTCTATTCCATATGCCGTCTCCTCACCGGCCCACCTTTCCGTATAGTCCGCACCACACCGTCCCGTTGCACTACCTCGCTTACATGTGCCCCACCTCGTCGCATAAGTTTGTCCATGGTCATGACCCATCTTTTCCACCCTGCATGCACAACACACTACCCGTGCAATTCGTGACACTCGACAATCCACCATCAAACATTGTCATGCATCAAATGGAACCGATGCGTCCATACAACTCTTATCCCACCCTTGCAGCTGGCTGCAGTCTTCTGGATTATCCTGCCACACCACCTCCCACGGTTGAGCCATCATGTGGGTCGTCGATCCGTGGAGAGCATCACAAACCGTGCTCTGGAATGAGTTCGGGGCGTCAGCAGTCTCATGCGGCACCATCCGGTGACACTCAAGCTGCTGCAAGAAGTGCTGGACCACAGGCGCAGGAAACTGGATTCCATATTCGAGTGGACGGTTCAGTTGCTATGGCTCGTGATACGGGGCAGGTGCATGCCCGATCAACTCCAAAATTGCATATTGAGGACGTCAGGAGGGCTTCGATTCGATTCCACCGGTGCCAAACAAGGTGGTGGTCGCACGGATCCACATCATGCACCACACGTCCCCAATTCACGTTTGGAGGACATTGTATCAGACAGCACACCAGCGGGCGCTGACCTCTCCGAAGTTGTTGAGCCTTTGAATGTCGACGGTGATGTTCTGCATGCGGATGTTGCGTGCTTGAGAAAATTCATGAATTTCGTGCGTTCATTGAACGTGCGTTCCGTGTTCGACTTTTGGGGGGGCTGTGGGGCGCTCATTGAACGTTCGCGCGCTCATTGAACGTGCGTTCCGTGTTCGACTTTTGAACGCACTGAACGCGCGTTCTGTGAACGCCGGTAAACGCGATTGACGCATTTGCGCAGGGGGGTTGCGGGTTGGGGCGGGGCTGCGGGGAGCGGCGGCGGTGCTTGGGGGGGC